CCCGCGTCCCCCGCATCGGCAGGCGGACTCTCAACCACTGCGCCACCAGGGAAGCCCCCAAACAGAATTTGATGCTTTATTCATTGCAGTGTATTCACACCCTGAAATGTTCATCTTGGACTCAAAGGCTGAATATCAGGACCATATATGCTATATTTGCCTTCCTGATGACTCAAGCTTTCTGAATTACTATTGATCCATCCTCCAATTACATATAGCCAACCATATGGGGAATTATTATTGCCTTGTATAATTGCTGACAAATTGTCAGTATTTAAATGGCAAGTCATTCTTTTTAATCTCATATTTATCAGAAGAAAAAGTATAGTAAAGATAACAAACCAACAATTAAAAAAAAACCCTTCAGTAAATTCATTTTGAAATGAAATGAGTAACAAGACCAAAAAAAAAGGCTTTTCTTTACTATATACTCTACACAATATATAAAATGAATATACAGTACGTAAGTGATAATAAATATCACTCTTGTGTCTCTAAGTCTACATTGTGTCTTAGTTTAAAATTCACATTTTAAAATCTAATTTTGGTTATGTCTATTTAAACATAAATAATATTTCTTCAAGAACAAATTTACTTACTATTCTCTAAAGATTATGCCACTATCGATACATGTAAATTTACGCTATAGAACAGGATCAGTTTGTAAAGATTACTAAAAACCACAAATAATCAAACAACACATTTACCACAGCATTCAAGTGATTGTGTTACTGTCGACAAGACTTTTTATTTTTAAACAAATTATTTGGAATCTCTTTAGAAAGTAGTTTATGTTGTATTATTAAAATGTAAAGAAAGGACTTCCCTGGTGGTGCAGTGGTTAAGAATCCACCTGCCAATGCAGGGGACATGGGTTTGATCCCTGGCCCAGGAAGATCTCACGTGCCGCGGAGCAACTAAGCCCGTGTGCCACAACTACTGAGCCCGCGAGCCACAACTACTGAAGCTCACGCACCTAGAGCCTGTACTCCGCAACAAGAGAAGCCACCGCAGTGAGAAGCCTGCGCACCGCATCGAAGAGTAGCTCCCGCTCACCACAACTAGAGAAAGCCCGCGCCCAGCAACGAAGACCCAACACAGCCAAAAATAAATAAATTAAATAAAAATAAATAAATTTTTTAAAAGTAAAGAAAAATTATTATTTTACTTACATGGTGTCTCTAATAAGACGTGAACTTCCCAATTTGATACAAGTTTTATCACCTTCACAAAACACACGTCTCAGAGAAAAGCGCTCTCCTAGGTCAAAACCTGTGGAATGTGACAAATGATTTAATCCAGCAGTTTTATTAAATTTAGTAAATTCACAGAGTTACCAACTTTTAAATAGGATTTTTTGTAGTCCTTATCTGTAGACTGACTTATTTCAAGTTAAATCTGCTCTTTACGGGATCAGCAAAATTTCTTGATTTATTTTGCCTCTGTTTAGGATATAGGAGGACGAAATATATGTCACAAGATTCAAGTATTATTTTTCTTTGACCTAGGAATTATTCTAAATAAGTAAGCAGAGTAGTTTATTGTAGCAGCTCTGATAGCTAAAGACAGAAAATTAGTTAAGTAAAAAATACTACAGCCATTCAATTGAAATCTAAGCAGTCTTTTAAAAGAAATCGTGCTTTAGAAAAATATATGTTAATGTGGGGAAATGCTCGGATTTCAAATGCAGTATATGTATTATGATTACGTGTGCATATGTGGGTGGGGGAAGGGTGGAGAGAGAAAACGGAGGATGAAGGGAAAAAAGAGAAAGAGAAAGATAAGAATGTTACAAAAAGGGAATCATGACTGTATTTGGGTAGTGAGATCTTCTTTCTCATACATTTTCTTTTGTTTTTTTCAAACTTTCTACAATGGATACAACTTTTAAAGTTTTAAATAACTTTTGTTCTCCGAGAGGTTGAGTTGTTGGTGGTCCTAGGTTAAATGATGTAGAATTCTGCGCTCAGAAATTTTTGTACATCATTTGACTTCTTTGCTTTTAATTTTTTAGTATTGGTGTTATCTTAAATTACAATGTGAAGGAGTCACCTACAATACACTACGTGTTTGGTGATAATTTTACACAAAAATGTTTCTTTGTGAAGAACTATAATGCTTACCTGAAACTTCAACTTTATCTCTGTAGTCTGGTGTAAACTGGTGTCCCTCTTTCCTCAGTATAGGACATTGTTTCTCTATTAAAAAAAAAAAAGGTATTGAGAATTTTCATTACATTGTCTATCATTTTTTTCAAATAAATTTGAATCATACAATACAATCGGAAATGTAAGATAAAAATGGAAAGAAATTAAACCGCTCTATTAAATTCCTTTTATTTTATTTATTTATTTTAGATGTTGGGGGTAGGAGTTTTTATTAATTAATTTATTTATTTTTGCTGTGTTGGGTCTTCGTTTCTGTGCGAGGGCTTTCTCTAGTTGTCGCAAGCGGGGGCCACTCTTCATTGCAGTGCGCGGGCCTCTCACTATCGCGGCCTCTCTTGTTGGGAAGCACAGGCTCCAGACGCGCAGGCTCAGTAGTTGTGGCTCACGGGCCTAGTTGCTCCGTGGCATGTGGGATCCTCGCAGACCAGGGCTCGAACCCGTGTCCCCTGCATTAACAGGCAGATTCTCAGCCGCTGCGCCACCAGGGAAGCCCAATTAAATTCCTTTTAAATAAGGATAAGAGTATTACCCACCTCACGGTGCGTTCGTGAGGAATACATGTGGTTGTGTATGTGAAGTCCCTGGTACACAGGGAACGCTTGTCAGTGTTAGCTGCTGTTTGCTGTAATGTTCTAATTGTCACTCTATACTCAACATAAGGAAATTAGCTATAGCTTTAATATCGTTAGGTTCTCATACTCAAAGTATATTCTAAGGTTAGAAGAAGTGACCTGCTACTATTTTCACACACCTTGGATTCAGGTTTAGGTATTAGTGATATTAAACTTTAGAACAGGAGGAGACTGCATGGGACTAAATGTACCCCTCCCTAAATTCATATGCTGAGGTCTTAATCCCCAGTGTGGTGCTATCTGGAGATGGGGCTTTTGGGAGGGAATCAGGTTTGGATGAGGCCCTAGGGGTGGAGCCCTGGTGATGGGATGGATGTCCTTACAAGAGGGCAGAGGAACAGGGACTCTTTCTCTCTCTCTCTCTGCCTTGTGAGGAAACCAGGAAGAGGGTTCTCATCAGAACTTGGTCAGGCTGGCAGCCTGATCTCGGACTTCTTAGCCTCCAGAACTGTGTGACATAAACGTCTGTAGTTTAAGCCTCCAAGCCTATGGTATTCTTGTCAGAGCAGCCTGAACTAAGTTATTAAAATAAAACTAAAAAGCAAAAGCAAAGACCTCTGCCATACCTAAGTGGCCTATAATGAAAAATAAATGAGATAAAAATCATTGAGAAAGTGTTAATTATATGCTAATGCTAATTAACGATGTTCAAAGAAGTAAAAGATAAAGTCTGCCTCCACTTACAGTGAATTTACATACTCACTGCACCGCGACACAGTAATATAGTAATGTACATACATTAATTTCTTGTTATCTGGGGTTTGTTTAAATTTAATTCAGGCTAGATTCTAGGAAATTAATAGCCAATGCAGACCATATTGCAGCTAGTTTCTATAATATGCCAACTGGACAACTGGACAGTTCTTAAGCTAAATTGATGAACTACTTTGGCATCATGCAGTCACAACCTTAATTTTCTAAAATGTCTAAAATTCATGTTTGGGTATAATGACCTCAAAGTTTTTATGACGGAGAGGAGATAAACTGCTGAAAACCACACTGATCTCCTGCTCTATGGGAAGTGGAAACCATCAGTTCTCCTGGTCAACTGCTCAGCCTTTCAGCCCTTCATTTAACAAATGTGTCAAAGACTTCAAGGGTGGTGACAGGGCATCAGCTTAATATATTTAACCAGAAGAATAAATCGGATTATAAATAGTGCTACCACTTAGATTTAAAAGCTGCAATCCACACAATTAAAATATATAGCACTGAATATTTTAGAGATTACTTAGTTACTCTGGAAATTCCTGTCTCAGAGATCTTAACATGATTGCAGGTCCTAAATAATAATAAAATCGGGTCTTTTGTAAACACTACCCATTTTTTGAGAAAATTGAAATCATACCCATTTTTTTATCTGAGTTCATCATCATGTTTATAAAAACCAAGCATCTCCTCAAGATCTCTGCACTGAAAACTAGAGAATGTTGCAGAGAGAAATTAAAGTCCTAAATGACTGAGTGGATTAAACAAGTATTTAGACTGGAAGACTCGGTATTGTTAAGATGTCAGTTCCCAATTTTACATCTAGACGTAGTGCAATAACAATTAACATCCCAACAGGTTGTGTGTGTGTGTGTGTGTGTGTGTGTGTGTGTGTGTGTGTCTGTGGAAAACTGACAACCTTATTCTCAAATTTAAGGTGAACTCCAAAAAAACTAGAACAGCTAAGGCAAAACTGAAGAAGAACAAGCCTGAGAACATGTACTATTGGACACCAGGGATTTTTATAACGTGATTTTGGTGCACATATAAATAGATTAATTGGACAGAGAGTCCAAACACAGACCTGTGTACATGTTTACCACAAAAGGGCCACTGCAATTCGTTGGGAAAAGGATGGTCTTTTCAGTCAGTGATTTTGGATCAACTGACTGTCCATGTAGAAAAACACTGGACTGTGACCCTTACCTCAAACCATGCAAAGAAATTAATTAGAGATGATCTTAGACCTAAACATGAAAGGTAAAACAATAACGAACTACAGAAAAATGTAAAATCTTCATGAACTGAGGGTAGCAAATATTCCTTGATAGACCTCAACATGAAAGGTTGATAAACTGGACTTCATTAAAATCTTAATAATCACAAGACAACATTAAAAGACTGAAAAGGCTAACCACAGACTATTACAATATGTATATCCAATCAAGCATCATATCCAGAACATACAAAGAATTCTCACAAATCAACGGGGAAAAGATTGAAAACCCTATTTTGAAAATGTGCCGGGGCTTCCCTGGTGGCGCAGTGGTTGAGAGTCCACCTGCCGATGCAGGGGACACGGGTTTGTGCCCCGGTCCGGGAAGATCCCACATGCCGCGGAGGGGCTGTGCCCGTGAGCTGTGGCCGCTGGGCTTGCGCGACCGGAGCCTGTGCTCCGCAACGGGAGAGGCCACAACGGTGAGAGGCCCGCGTACCACAAAAAAAAAAAAAAAAAAAGAAAAGAAAATGTGCCAAAAAGCTAAGCACTTCACAAAAGAAAATATCCAAAATGCCAACCCGCATATGAAATAGTGCTTAACATCATTAGTGATCAGGGGAATGCAAAGTAAAACCACAATGATATACCACTAAATGGCTAAAAATTAAAGAACTGACAGCATCAATACTGTTGAGGCTGTGGAGCAAAAGGAAGGCTCGTCTACGTTGCTCGTGGGGGTGAACAGTACAACCGCTTTAGAAAATTGTTTGGCAGCGTTTCCGAAAGCTAAATATTCATGAGCTCTATAACCTGGAAATTCAATGACCCAAGAGAAATGAGTACAAAAATGGTGTAAATGGCTCTTTTAGAAGAGAATATTCCTCACAGCATAACTCATAATAATCCAAAACTGGAAACAACCCAAATGTCCATTGACAAGAGGATAAATGAACAAATTGTGGTAAATACAATAAAAAAGTATAGAAAAAAGAATGAACTACTGCTACATGCAATGACCTGGATGAATCTCAGAGATACAGTGGTAAGTGGAAAAGAATACCGTTCCCCAAAGAACACAAACTGCAGAATTCCATTTATGTGAAGTTCAAGAGATTGCATGACTGATCTATGTCAGTGTACTGATTAGCTTGGTGGGGGGTCAACTGGGATAGTTACAAGAAAGCCTCTGGGGCCATGGAAAGTTCTATATTTGGATCTGAGTGGCAGTTTCACAGATGTGTAAATACATATGCAAAAATTCATTACACTGTGCACCTAAGATCTGTGGACCCCGGTGTGTGTCATACAAAACAGCATGTCTGTGAGAAAACACTTTAAGCTCAAAATAATTTTTGCAAAACACCAAAACTGTGATCAAATTTTTACAATGACTTTGAATAACTATATGACTGTAGAAAATGAGGTTAACTTTAAATCCTTCACAACATATATAGGGAAACCCCAATAGATGATTGGCAAAGCAAATATCCAGACTGTGGAAGGAACTTCCTACTGTGACACTTCGGTAATGAGTGGAAGCTATGTTAGCTTATTGCCAAGTTGGAAACAGTATATATCTTATGTAAATTCTTCTGAGGATCTAATGAATATACGATGATGTCAAAGTAATAAACCTGTCACTTTGAAGTGAAGAAAATTGAACACTTCCAGCAATATTTATGAAAGTATTTCTTCACTAAAGTCTTTAGTTTATGAAAATCAAATACAGCTTTATATCTCTAGAATATGTGCTCTGTTATGAAAAGCTGAACAAAACAAATGAAAACTAAATGTTAATTTAAGTGAAGTAAGTCAAAGACAAATATCATGATATCACTTTATATATGGAATCTAAAAAATGATACAAATGAACTTATTTACAAAACAGAAATAGACTCACAGACATAGAAAACGAACTTATGGTTACCAACGGGGAAACGGGGGAAGGGATAAATTAGAAGTTTGGGATTAACATATACACACTACTATATATATATAACAGGTAAGCAACAAGGACCTACTATATAGCACAGGGAGCTATACTCCGCATCTTGTAATAACCTATAATGGAAAAGAATCTGAAAAAGAACATATATATATTCAATTTTAACTCAATTTTATTTGACTTCAATTTAAAGTTTAAAAAAACAACCAAATGTTAATTCTTTGGGGGGAGACTCAAAGTACAATAAGCTGAATGCATGAGTCTCATGGTCCATTGCATAAAAATGGCAACACAGTAGAAGTGGCTATTAAAAGTTGGATATGTACATTTCTTTAAGCATTGACACTTGCATTTTAACATAAAGTAAAGCATACTTTTTGCGTAAATGTGCGTGCTATCTTGAAGAACTACTGATAAGACCCAAATATCCAAGCATCCTGTCGGGTAGTCAGGAGAATCCCAGCAGCAGTGTCATTTCAAAGGCTCTTGGGAACCTTTCAAAAGTAATTACTAAAATTTCACCACA